GGAGGAGGGGAGCGAGAGAGAGAGAGAGAGAGAGAGAGAGAGAGAGAGAGAGAGAGAGAGAGAGAGAGCTGACACGTGGCACTTCGCGCAACGGTACCGTATCGACGACGACGGGCAGCGGCGGCGGCAGTGACGACGGGCACCTCGGCGATGGCGGGCAGCGACGGGCGTCGACGGCGGGAGCACTACCTCGGCGAAGGCAGGCAGCGACGGGCGGGAGCACTACCTCGGGGCAGCGATGGGCGGGAGCACTACCACGGTGCGGCCCTCACTTCGACCACTTCACTGGGCAGCGGCGGGAGTAGCTCCATTCTTCGAATTCGAAGCGGGCGCGCGGCGGGAAAATTTTGCACGGGGGGGCGGGGAGGCTCCCAAGGCCCAGAAAAGTCGAAACAGGCCTCCCCCCCCCCCCCGGCAAAAATGCGCTGGGCCAGCCCGGCATCGAACCGGGGGACCCGACCGGCCGGGCCGCCCGGGACCCCTGCCGGACGGAGGCTGGGCCGCCTGACGACCCGGAATTTAACACAGCCTTTTTTTTTTTTTTTTTTTTTTTTTAAGAACCGGCCGTCTTCATCCCAATATGACGTACAATCATTGTCGCTGTATTCGGGGGAACTTTGAGTCTAGATGCAGCAATTATTACTGCGTGTTGTATTTGGGTGAAGACGTTAGAGGGGTTGATACAAGCAACTCCCTCTAGAGGCAGGCCCGGGGGCTAGGTCCCACCGGCTAAGTTTTGCTACATCGCGACTCCGTTTCTGATCACGTGTGACGACGATGGATGCAATCTGGCCGTCGACCTTCCCGGATGTTGACGGCTGGTCGACGGCCCACACTGTTTTTGAGATTTCGCTTTGCGAACATACTATGTCGACCAATGACCGTTAAAAAAAAGAAATTAACCCCCATTTATGTGCACGTTGTCCACGGGCGGGAAGTCTCATTTTTATGGTTTTGAAAAGAGGGGGTGGTGATTTTGCCACTTCGTATTTTTCGGAAACGCCCTCTTAATACCCGAAAAGAAATGGAAATCGACAATATCTTTCGAGAAAACAGATGTCCAACCGCCCTTCGCGGATACTCTATCACCGGTGTAGTGGCATCGCGCCCACATGAATCAAACCCTGAAAGCATCCACAGTTCACGGTCGTGGCCATGCTCCTAGCCAAATGTTCCCCGTATCATACATGCGGCCAAAGTGAATGCGGCCCAAGTATATCTCCAGCAAAGAGCCCGCAGCAAACACAGTGGAGGCGAGCAATGCACCTCGGCAAACACAGGGGGCGGGGTGGTGGTGGTTGGTGTTGGGTTTCGGGAGGGGAGGAGGCACCGCTGTGTTGAGAAACGTCTGGGCTTTACGTGGGTCTCTCCAACCACAGTGAAAAAGACAAGTTCTGGAGTCCTTCCAACTCCCACAGCTAAGATGGGAAAAGGTCCCAGTCTCTTTGCTTCGATTTACGGGTTGTTTGTGGAGAATTCCTGGCCTCTGACTTGTTCCCATTGCTTTGCTAATGACAATTACCTTTCCTTGTAAAAAAAAAAAAAAAAGACAGAGACAAGTTTCGACTGCCAAAGCTGCAATCGGAGAAATGCACGACCCAACACGGGGCAGCCTGTGGAGCTCCCACTGCCGCATCGAACAGCTAAAATGGGTACGGGTTCGTTTTCACTCATTTGTGACATCGGCTTCGTGGAAGAGAACGGTTTTTCGGATTCGCCTGCCTGCATTACTGACCACATGCATTAAGTAGACTCAGTAGAGGTCCTTTCCTTGACTCCATTCAGGGAACGACCACAGCCAAGCACTGGACTCGTGCGGATCCCTACATACCAGATGCAAGGCCGCTATATTCTTTTTTTTTATTTTTAAACAAAGGAAGATATGACCAATAACCCTAATTGGGCTGTTGCTGGAAAACGGTTCCAGCATCCATTCCTTTCACTGGTCTATCCTCAAGCTCAAAGTAACTTTGTGTAGAAACGAGGCACCATCCTACTTGGTGCTAAAGTTCAGTCAAGCATATCATTGCAGTGTTGCTCATCGATATTAAACTACTATCGCATCATGCTAAGTTGCCTAAATCAGCAATATTACTTTCCACCAGGATTCAAGTAAACGGCTAAGCTGTTAGGAACTAAAACTACCTATAAGCTCAAAGACCAGGAGCTGGGCAAGAAGAATAAGCTATAGGG